CCCGCGGGGGTCTCCGGGCCGGAGCGGTCCACTCGGGCGTGCGCAGGGGGGTCGCCAGGTCGGAGCGGTCCACGCGGGGGCGCGCACTGGGGGTCGCCGGGACGCTACCGGAGGGGCGCGGGGTTCGCCTTGCACCGCCTTTTCTGGGGTCCTTGCGGGGTAGCCGGTCCAGGGAGACAGTTTAAGGGCCTTGTCTGGGAATCTGGGTGGAGCAAGCCACCTTTAGAGTCGTGCAGGACAGAGGGTCCACAGGCCTGCTGGGGGACCCCCGTGTGGGAGGCAGCGTGGGCGATCTGTCCTTCAGAGGGCTGCAGAATGGCATCTCACCCGCCCTTGTTCGCTCGTGTGTGGGGTGCTGGAGAAACCCCATTGTAACCTAGGTGCGACCCTGCTCGGTCTGGAGCCACCCCCGGGTGCCCATCTCGCCGTTGTCACCTTCCAGGCCTGCCCCCTGCAGAGCAGTCCCCTGTGTGGTCTTGAAGCGGGACACCTGCTTGGGTGGGGCTGGCGGCCTTCGATTCGGCTGGGCCTCTGTGTCACCTGCGTTCCTGGAAGTCCCCAGGCCTGGTACTGCGGTGCCGAGTGTTCCTGACCTTCTGGGCCTCAGTTTACCTCTCTGTAAAATGCCGGGTTTAAAGGGACCGTGTTTTGAGCCGTCTTCCTTGAGAGGTGGTGGAGTGAGAGGTGGCCCTGGTGCGCGCCGCCACCCCCGAGAACCTCCTCCCTTGGACAGTGGCTGCGCCTCGGTCCCTGGGGGCTCGCTGTGTGTGCCCCTCCTCTGCATCTCCCTGGAGGCCTAGCTCATGCGTTGGAGCCCACAGCACGGCACTTCCTTCCAGGTCACAAGCTCCCCGAGAGGAAGTGTCCGGATTTGCAAAACTCGTGCTCTCACCCGGTGGCAGCCTCTGCCGGTCCCCGTGGACACCCCCACGGGCACCCACCCTGCTTCTCCCGGGCCTCCCGAAGCTTCCTTGGCAGGAGGGCGGGAGGAGGAGATGCCAGGCTGCCTGGGAGTTGGGGGAAATGTCTGAAGACAGTGGAGAGAGCGAGGGAGGGAGCCCTAGGTAGATGACCTCGTTCATTGCCCGCCTTCTCATCTCTGCTGACACCGGTGCTCAAGTGGGGCCAGCAGCAGGCAGGCCCAGGGGAGGAGCCCCGCAGGGCTTGGGGCCCCTGCTGGGGGTCCCTTCCCCAGGCCCCCTGACTTCCTGCCGCCAGGAGCCTCACGGGGAACCAGACTCGTTAACCGTAAGAAGGCCACAGGGGAAGTATTTGTTTTATCAGCGGCTTGGAGATCTGATTGGGGACAGATAGAGGGGCCAGGAGATAAGGGAGGGCCCCTCCCGGGAGGGCCCCTCCCTGCCCGTCCTGGAATCCGCAGCAATCTGATTCTACCAGCTGGCCCGCTGTTTCCCCGCTGCGCCTCTGCTCTGAACCATCCTCCGGGTGTAAAGTGCTGTGAGTTTGGATAGTGACTGTCCAGGCCTTTTTCTTTTTCTTTTTTTGATGTGCTGGAGATTGAACCCAGGGCCTTCACACTGAGCTCCATCCCCAGCCCTTTTTCTTTTTTGAGACAAGGTCTCACTAAGTCACTAAATTGCTCAAGGTGGGCTCAAAATTGGGGTCCTCCTGCCTCAGCCTCCCAGAATGCTGGGGTAATAGGCATGTGCCACCACACCTGGCTAGAATTCTTTCTCTTTCTTGTGGTACCAGAATCGAACTCAGGATCTTGCACTTGCCAGGTGGGCACTGTGCCACTGAACTATATTCCTGGTACACTATGTAGCCCAGGCTGGCTTCAAACTTGGTGATCCTCCTGCCTCAGCCTCCTGAGTGCTGGGATGACAGGTGTGTGCCACCACACTTTCTGTAGCAGTCATGAATTTGTCTCCACCTCTGAATCAGTTACTGGGGACACCCTGGAGCTACACTGCTGTGTGACCTTCGCATACCTGAGCCTCAGGGTGGCCCTCTGTAAAGAGGGGTGATGCCCGCTCCTGCCCTGGGCTGCCACACCTGAGCCGTAAACGAATGCTGGCATTGACCTAGGGCCCTGTGCACAGCCCTGTGTAGGTGCTTTCTGAGTGTAGAAGCAATGTCGTGTAAGATTCTGAGAACTCGGGCCTGTGACTGCGAATGCTTGGCATCCCGCAGCTGGTGGCTGGCCGAGAGCGAGCAGGCGGAGAGTGCTTTCCGAGGCGCCTGGGCCCCGCCCCTGCAGCACTGCCAGCCCCAGGTGTCACCGGTGGTCGGATGCCACTGGCAGCTGTAATCGTGATGATTGTAATCCTGATCGCAGCTGTTCTGACGAGGGGCAAGGCCTGGGCTCTGGTGTGTAGGGCTCCCTGCTTCTGAGGCCTGGCCAAAGCCCCGGTGTTCTCCGGGGGCTGCTAGAGCGGTCCCCAGAGGGCTGGGGCCTGGGGACACCTGCCTGGCCCGCGGTGAAGGCTGGCACTCAGCCTGTGGGTTTTGACCTGCACCCTCTCCCCAGTCGCCCTGTCTCCTGAGGCCTCAAACAGCGGCCTTGCGCCTGCCCCCTTCCCACATCTAATCTGGTAGCGAATTATGTCAGCTTCGCCTTTGAAATCGGCCCAGAATCTGCCCATGTCTTCCCGTCCTCCACCTCCGCCTGGTCCAGCTCCATCATCCTTAGCTTGCCTGGACTGGTATACTCATTCTGGAAGGATCCGCGTAAGAACTGGCTCAGATCTGGTCCCTACTCTGCCCTCAGCCCTCCATGGCTCCCACCTCCCTGGGCCAAAGCCCAAGTTCTGCAGCCTGCAGGGGACTGCACAGCCACCTGTACCCTCCTCGCCTCCCTGACCCCTTCCCCCAATCCTCCCTCTGCTCCTGCTCTGGTACCACGCCAGGCTCCATCCCACCCCAGGACCTTTGCACGGCTATGCCCTCCACCTGGATCACTATTTTTTTGAATCTGTCACTTGCTTCCTTAGTTCCGTCAAGCTTTACCTCAAATTTCTCCCTGTAGTGGGTCCTCCCTGACCTTGTGGTAAAACAGTCTCCTTTTGTCCATCTGTCCCTGCCTCTATCCTCATTCCTTATCATGCTCTCCTCCACTTTGTCACTGTCGTACTGGTCACCCCTGATGCAGACGGCTTTGCTGTGTTTTCTGACACCTCCCCTCCTTCCCCCAAGAGTGCCGAGGGCTGGCGCTGTGTGAAGTGTCCCCGACCCTGGAACAGCCTGGCGCACGACAGGTGCCCGGTGAGCAGCAGGTGCTCTGGGGATGACAGTGCCAGAGATGATGTCAGGTGGGGAAGAACCTTGTGGCCGCTTGGAGCTGAGTCACGTTTTTCCCTTTTGCAGTGCAGGGGAAGGAGCCCGGGCCTTCACCCTGAGCTGCGTCCTCAGCCCTTCACGCACGTTTTTATTTTGAGACAGGGTCTCTCTAAGTTGCCTGCGCTGGGCTCAATCTTGCCGTCCTCCTTCTCAGCCTCCCAAGCGCTGGGATGGCAGGTGTGCTGCACTGCACTGGCTGTCACATGTTTCTTGAGCAGCTATGACGGGTCACGTGGGCCTCTGGGGATGCGGGTGACATCAGGGAATCTAGGGCCTCACTGCCCCTTGGAACTCTGGGTAACAGGTGGAAGATAAGGCCAGAGGTCGAGGGTTGGCTGATGATGGCTGCCACCCCTATAGTATCTGTACCAGTTGCTGTCCAAAAAGTGTTTTGTTAATAAAATTTTTTAAATGTTTTGGTTTTTTTTTTTTTTTTGGTTTTTCTCCGGTACTGGGAACCGAACTCACGACCTTGCGCTTGCCAGGCAGGCACTTTTGCCACTGAGCTAAATCCCCAGCCCTGTTAATAAAATTTTTTGTCAATAAAGTTTTATTGGCACACATTCCTGTGCAGTCCTTGGTGACCTTCTGCCCTAACCAGAGCCAAGCAGCGGGACTGGAAAATTCACCGTCTGACCCACTGTGGGGAATGTTTGCCAGGCTCTGAGTAAAACCACTTTAGGCAGCGGTCAGTGCAGAGAGGAAATCAGAACTATTGTGGTGCATGCCTGACATTCCAGCATTCTGGGAGGCTGAGGCAGGAGGACTGAAAGTTCAGGCCCAGCCTGGGCAACTTAATGAGTTCAAAATAAAAGATTAAAAAAAGTCTGGGGTTGTAGCTCAGTGCAAAGGCCCTGGGTTCTGTCCCAGTTCTGGGAAAAAAGAAAAGACAAAGCAAAAATGAAATGGGCTGTTACAGCGTCAGTGAGCAGGACAGGCAAGCTGAGACTCGACTGAGAGGTCATGGCCATGGCTTGAAGTTGCAAAGGCCCTGGGGTGGGAATAAGCCTGGTCTGTGGCCGAAGTGAGACTGTGTGGAGCTGAGCGTGTGGCGCGCAGTGCGGAGAGCACCGGCCGGCTTGGCATTGTGCGTGAGGTACCTGGCGGCAGTGGGCAGTGTCAAGGGCCCTGTGCAGCATGACCTGGGCCCTGCCTGCCCGCTCACAGGCACCATGTGACTCCGAGAAGGTGACGACCCTCCCCCCCCACTTCTTGAGACAAGGCCAGCAGCAACCCAAAAATCCGTCAGGCAGTGACTGGTCAGACTGGGCCCCAGGAATCTGCAGGACCTGGGCATTACAGATGGGGAAATTGAGGCTCTGGGCCGGTTGGAGAGGCTCCCGGAACTTCCCGCTGCCTGGATCCAGCAGCGTCCCTGGAGCTGTGATGAGGCAGGTTAAGACCCTGCTGAGGATTTGCTGCTGCAGGCTGTCTGCACCTGGGACCCGCGGTGTGGGAAAGGCACCCGGATGCATGACTCTGGGATTAGCTAGGAGCCCCGTGTC